TTCAGCTAGGTTCAAGGAATTTCTGCTTAGCCTCTGAGGTGCGGAAATTTGCCTCCGTTTCTGGCTGTCACCCAGGCGTTCTGAGCTTGCCCGGGACCGAGAACTTCTTCCTTCTTTTTTTGCATACAAGGACAGAAAACCTGTTGTAAAAGCGTAGCAATTTGCATGAAGCTCCCAAGAGAATCTGACGCCGGACTTGCAAAAGAGGGTTTTGGGGTTGCTGTTCCACCCCTGCCTTCCTCCAGAGCCCCTCGTAGGGGAGAGGTTCACCTCCTCGGGCACCCTACGGCCTGAGGACTATTTGGCTCAAGCAGGTTTTATCCATGAGATTAGAAAGCCCTGGGCTTTTCTGCTCCTGGGGTGGCCGGTGACTGTCAGGTTGGAGTGAGGTAGGGTGGCAAGAAGCACAGAGCAGCCAGGCCGGGGATGCGCAGGAGGCTGAGAGAGAGAAGAGACCCCACTCTGAGGTCCAGGTTTTATACCTGGCCACAAAGGCCTGCCTTCTTTTGAATTTCAAGCCCTCCATGTCAGATCGTTTTCTCAGCGACTGAGATCCATGAGGGACAGAAACTTTTTTGAAAAAAGCCCACCAGAGGCGACGGGTCAAGGAAAATGTCAGGGACGTGGATTCAAGCAGTGGGACTCGCCGTCAAGTCAGACTGAAGTCATACCAGCAACTCGACTCCGGTTCCCCCCCCCATGACTCAGATTCGAGTCACGACTCAGAACCACTCGTCCCTCCCTTTTTTTTCTGAGGGGGGAAAACATGTTTTGAAGAGGGCCTCAGGACTTGGTTACCGCAGACTCAGAGTCTGTCCTGGGACCCAAAGACTTAACCAACATCCCTGGAAAATGTCACCTGGTTGTGTAGCAGACACCTTGCAAACGGGAGGTAGATCAACCCTCAGTCCCCAAAGGAGAGGGGAAGTCTTTTCAAGAGGCTTATGATGTCAAATCAGGCTGAAGGGACTTAGCGAAAAGAAGAGACACATTAAGAGAAATCTCGGCAAGAGAGAGGCCTCATTCCTTGAAACCGGTGCTGTCATGACGGCGAGTCCCACCGCTTTGGGACCCAAAGACTTAACCAACATCCCTGGAAAATGTCACCTGGTTGTGTAGCAGACACCTTGCAAACGGGAGGTAGATCAACCCTCAGTCCCCAAAGGAGAGGGGAAGTCTTTTCAAGAGGCTTATGATGTCAAATCAGGCTGAAGGGACTTAGCGAAAAGAAGAGACACATTAAGAGAAATCTCGGCAAGAGAGAGGCCTCATTCCTTGAAACCGGTGCTGTCAAGAAGCTGCAAGATGCTCCTCGCAACAGACAGAAGGAAAGGGCAAGGAGGGACATCAGGCGGTGTCACTGATGGCCCCTAAAAGAGCAAGACAAGACATCGCCAGGAGTATATAAAAAACAGAGAAGAAGCTGCAGGGCCTCGAACCTGCGCACAAGACCAGAGGGGCTGCTACTTCAAAGGCAAAAGGAGCAAGACTGGGGTTCTCTCAAGCGCAGGGTGGGCGTTGGAGAACCCCTCCTCCCACAGCCGTGGTCCTCAAAGGTACGGCTGGCTAAGAGGCAGAGCTGTTGTCAGTCACGGTATCACCACAAGAACCGTTCTGCAGCAAGCAGGCGCATGCACCCTTCCTCCTCCTCCTCTGCCGCAGCAGAATCCTACGATATGTCTCCCTGGCCAAGCGGCTGTAAAGATCACAATGTAAGAATGCACTTGCTTCTGCTGATGTCCTCTGGCAGAGACGTCAGACCAAAGCGCATTTTCTCTCCCTGTATTGTCCAACGATACACGAAACCCATTGTGCAAAAGCTGGATTAGATTCAGATGAAGGAGGAGTGAAAATGGGCAGAAGAAACATCGATCACTTTAGCCACGCAGATGACTCTCCACATTGCTGGCGGAAAACAGCAGTGACTTGAAACAAGCACAGGTTAAGGTTGAAGAAGAAGGTACAAAAGGAGGATTACAGTTGAACATTAGGGAGACAAAAACTGCAGCGAACGCAAGAATTGCATGACGTCAGTGGTGGCAAGGAAGAAATCAAGATGGTTGAAAATTTTCTACATTTCAGGCCAGATGTCAATACAAATGGAGACAGCAGCCAAGAAGTTAGAAGAAAACGTAGATTAGGAAGGGCGGCTCTGGAGGAAGTAGAAAAGATTCACAAGGGTACGTATGGAGGCATCATTGGAAACCAAGGACAAGATTGTCCATACTATGGAATTTCCAGTTAATACAGTGTCCCTGAAAGCGAACCACGAAGAAAGCTGGCATGAAAAAGCCCCCAACTCCATTGCAACATGGCCTTCAGAGGAAAGTTTTTTATGGATACCATCTATATTATGGGGCTTTGCAAAACCTAACAGGTTTTGCCAGGTAAGTGAGATTTTTTGAAGGGTTTTTTTTTTAATTGAAGCTAAAGCCTCCCCTCACCCCCCCTCCACACTGCCATGGGTTTCCGTGGCCGAACAGGTATTCAAAACCAGGTCTCCTAACTCTTGATCTGTCACTATTGAGCACATCAGGTACGGCAGATCATCAGAAAGACAAACAAACAAACAAACAAGATTCTGAAGTCTCCCTAGAAGCAAAAGGACTAAATTGTGGCCTGACCTACTTTGGGCACATCATAAGGCCAAGACATGCTCGAAAAAGCAATCATGCTGGGTAAAAGGGAAAGCAGCAGGAAAAGAGGAAGGCAGGACACAAGATGGGTGGACTCAGTAAAGGAAGCCATGGCATTGAGTCCGCAAGAGCGGCACAGGGCTGTTCACGACAGGAACTTTTGGAAAACACTCAGTCCGAGGGTTGCCCTACATTGGAAAGCGCTTGACAATCCTGAAGAACAGAACTTTGAAGACTCGGAATGTCACATGTATTGTGATCTCCACCCTCGAGGGCCCTGATCAGGTGAGAAGGGAAACTAGCACCACGTCCACCTTTACTCGCTAGAAAGACAGGTGAGAAGAAATTGCTTGCGTATCCCGAGAGGTTGTCTCTGACTTACCCCCTTTGCTTCCCTTCTTCCTGTCTTGGCTTCCTCGTTTCCCAAACGGGGCCTGTTAACTTAGCATCCTCTCCTCCTTTCTTTCTGAGATTTTAGTGCAAAAAGGAAATAAACAGAAGCAAACCGAAGCGTTGGGCTCCAGCCTCTTTTTTCCCCCCAGGGGTGGAATTCTGCTGAGGAGGGGGATTTCACTCCGTTGGCCACCTGGGAGTGACGGCAAAGGATTCTCCGGTCCTGTCCCCCTGGCATGCCTTTTGGGGCACAGAGTGTTGGCCCACCCGAGAACCACTGAGCTGCAGAGCTTTCCGTGTGTGTGTGTGTGTGTGTGTGTGTGTGTGTGTGTGTGTGTGTGTGTGTGTGTGTGTGTCTGTGTGTGTGTATGTGTGTATGTGTTGTGTGTGTGTGTGTTTATATGCTCAGGGACTGAGGCCTGGTGTGAAGAGTTGGGGGTGGGGGCATGGTACAGGACAGTGTCTCTAGTTTTCTCTGGCCATTGCTGGACATCAAGGGCAGACATCTTTGGAGAGATGTCAGGCACCGGAGCAGTCTTGGGCTGTTCTCTTCTCCTGCTCAGAGGAGGCTGCACGACATGTCCAACTCCCTGCCCCCTCTTCCCCAGCTGCTAGTTCCCCAAGGCAGGAACACAACAACCGAACAACCGAACAATGATCTGGCTGTCTCTCTGTCCGTCCGTCCGTCCTTCCTTCTCCCTGTCTATCCTGAATCCTTCCTTCCTCCCCCCCCCCACCTCACCAATCCTTCCTTCCTCCCCCCCCCACCTCACCGCCCTGTGGCAGCCATCGCGATTTTTATAAGAGCAGACGGTGCATCCGCAGGCAGAGAGACTTTGCTACAGGGGAACGGCATGGATGTGGGGAAGAGACCGTGGCATGCCAAGAGGTGGAAAGGAAGGACGTCACACCTTCTCAGCTGAGCTGGGGCTGGGGGTTTCCCTGAAGGGGGGCAATGTGTTTTGAATCCCACACCTCTGGAAGACTTGAAGGGAACGTAAAGGCATGGCTGTCCCTCACCAAGAGAGTGACGTCGCAGAGAGAATGTCAGGTCAGGAGTTAGGAGACCTGGGTTCAAATCTTCCCTTGGCCATGGAGACCCACTGGGGCACTAGAACTGGCTAAACCATTCCTTGAACATTTTACATCCCTCAGAATCCCTACCAGGGCTTGGAGGGATTTGACAGCACATAACTCCATGCCAGGAAAACAAACAAACACACCTCTCGGCATCCAGTGTGGTTAGTGAATGGGCTAAGGCTCAGGTAGAGTCTGCTGAGCCATAGAAGCTCACTGGTGGTACAGAACTGGCAAAGACACACACCTTAAAGCTTGAAAGCCCAATTGCTTGAACCCTGATCCGACTTGAAGACACAGAACATCCCAGGCATTACCGTGACTGGACCACGGAAAATACCACCAGCAGCGGGGCAGGAACCTCCGTGCCTGGCCTGACGAAGCCTCGCTCCCGGAGGACTGGAGAGCCCGCCTGCTGACTCCTGTGTCTGGCCTGACGAAGCCTCCCTCCGGGAGGACTGGAGAGCCCGCCTGCTGACTCGCAGTCCAGTCCGGGGGGGGCGGGGAGGGGAGGGGAAGCCCGGCCGCGGTCCTGAACCCCCACTTTCTCTCCCACCCTGGCCTCTGGCAGGTGAGCTGCTTGCTCCCCAGGCGAACCCGGCCTGTTTCTGATCTCTTCCCCCTCCCCCCGCCGCCTGTCCGGTAGAAAAGCACCTCACCTGGGTTGAGTTCAGTGGGTGGAACCCCCCCCTTCCCCGACTCTCGGAGGCCCGGAGCCCCTTCTCCCGAAGCAGAGACGCGCCATCATCCGGAGATGCTGAGGACGGGGGGCGGGGCGGAAACAAAGGATGCTACGGGGGCGCATCTGGTGGGGGGGCTGCCTGGCCTCGCCTTCCCTCCCCCAAAGCCAGACCCCATCCACCCGCCCACCGAGGCCCGATCCTCGCGGCTTACCTGGCCGGTGAGGGGCTCCAACTGCGCTGGGAGCTGCTGTTGCTGCCGGTGGGAGCGAGCCCCTACCCCATGCACCGGGAGCGCGGGATGCAGCGAGGGAAGGACGGCTGGCTGGCTGGCTGGCTGGCTGGCTGGATGGATGGATGGACGGACGGACGGACGGACGGCTGACGCACCGCGCGCGGCCCCTTCCTGCACCTGCTCCGACGGCCGCCTTCGGCGCGCTTCCTGCGCCTCCTTTTGTACCGGGAGGAGCCCCTCTTGGGGAGGAGGGGGCGGCACGCAGGCTCTGTTCGCCGCCTCATTGGTCGCCAGCCGTGCCCGTCACCGCCCCCTGCCCACGTCGCTCCAGGTGAGACGGGGGGTGTCGCCGGCCGCCCCGTCCAGAGCGCCTGCCGGGGGTCCGGGGATCCCCTCCGCTGCCCCTCCTCTCGCTCCCTCTCCGCCCGGGGGGGGGGCTCGTCCTTAGCAGGTTTTCTGCACATCCTCCGGGACCCCCTTAGCTCGCCGGGGCTGGCCCCTCTCCGGGCCGCCCGTCGTCACCCGTTTGGAAGAGCCGGGCAGCGCATCCCTCACCTGGGCGCCCTTGGGCGGCCGTCGGCCCTCCTTTCCTCCCCACCCGGTGCACCAGGCACCGCACCCCTCTTCGGGCGTCCCTGACCGGCGCTGTCCGGTGAACCGTGACGTCATTTGCGGGGGGGCAAGGATTGGGGGCAGGCGGGTGAGCAAGGGAGGGCCAAGCCGGAGACGGGCGGCACGGTTGGAAGACCCTGGGAAAGCCTGCAGGAGAGCGCGGGGGGGGCTTGGCCTCGGGAGGCTGGTGGGCCTCCCAGGCGTCTCTCCTCTTCGGGCGTCCCTGACCGGCGCTGTCCGGTGAACCGTGACGTCATTTGCGGGGGGGCAAGGATTGGGGGCAGGCGGGTGAGCAAGGGAGGGCCAAGCCGGAGACGGGCGGCACGGTTGGAAGACCCTGGGAAAGCCTGCAGGAGAGCGCGGGGGGGGCTTGGCCTCGGGAGGCTGGTGGGCCTCCCAGGCGTCTCTTCTCTCTNTTCGGGCTTCACCTTCCCTCAAGCTGTGCTTTAGCAAAAAGATTGAATGGCGACTCCCTGTTAGTTTTTCCAGGCCAATCCTTTGAACTGTAAGCTCACTGGGGCAGGGACCTGGGATTCTGGCCGAGGGGGGGTGGTGTTTCCGGAAAAAGTACATATTCCATGCTCCGATTCTTAGGATTATTAAGAAAGGGCAGTGGAATGAGGCCAAAACAGATTGCCTCCTGACATCACTGGAGGGTCTGCATTTCTTCTTGTTTCCCTCCCACAGGCTGTGTCTGCCCAGGCTACTCTGGGGCAGCCATTCCGGGGGGGGGGTTGTGGCCACGTCGCCTGCTGCTCAGCAGCAAGCGGGACTGAGGCCCTCCTTGCCCCCCTCCTTCCTTTACACCTCGGAAAGGCAAAGATGGGTTCTCTTGTGAGAAATAAGTACGCCCTCGTGATCTTTAAAAAGAGGGAGAAGCACATTTCAGAAACCCATTGGAAATGTTTCCATGACAACCACCCAGGAGAGGGAACATCCCCCCTCCCTCCCACTGTCCTTAGGGCTTGGCTTCAGTCGCCTGTCCTGGAAGGGATGCTGAGGCCATCCCTCACCTGGGAATTGGAGGACAAAGAATTGTAGGGCTGGGAGGGGTCTCAAAGGTCCTCAGGCCCCAGACTTTGCCCCCCATCCCACCCCACAAGTGGCCCTTGAAACGCACAGCTCAAGCATCCCTGGGGAACACCCCATCCACCACTGGTTGAAAACCACCACCTTCCCATCCATCTCATGCTTACGGCCTGCAAGTTCTTCCGAATGCTTGGGTCAGATCTCCCTTCTTCTCCCTGGAATCCACTGGTTTAGATCCCACCATCTAGAGCCACAGGAAACAAGCTTCCTCCGTTTTCCACCTCCAGCCTCCTTCAGGTATTCCCCTCTGAGACTTCTCTTCTCCAGGCTGAACATGCCCAGAGTTTTCATTATGAAGTTACAATGCAGGGCTGGTGATTAAAGGATGCCATGATTGGTTTTATTTTTGCAAACATCGGACTGTGAACCAAACTTCCAAGCTAAAGCATGAACCCGTCTGGACCAGCAGAGGGCAGGAAACAGCTTCTCCTGCCTGCCTGAGATGGAAAAATATTAATTTCTAGGCATTGAGGGAAGACAAGTTGGAATAACACTGTCTTGTCTTTTAAAAAACAAACATAAAAACTGGAAATGAGACGAGAGCCCTTTATTCTCTTAAGACTGCAGTTGGGTGGGTGGTGCATTTGGGAGATATAAGACAGAATTGGCCAAATTATTTTGACAAAGAATTAGTTACTGTGACCATTCCAAGCCCGTCAGTAGTTATGCAGCTTGATAATTCCAGCCTTAAGTGGGGTTATTAGACAATTAGACATTTGCACATTAAACATTGAAAGTGGTGATGCGATAGTCTTGGTGGCTGACAATTTCCATGCTAATCTTCTCTGTATTGTTCCAATTTTAGTATACGTGCTGCTGAAGCACATCTGTAGCCCCACTGAGCCGTGGCAGTCATGTATCAATAGGGCAGTCCCTGAGTCTCACGCTTATGTCCGAGGAAGTGGAGTTAATCCACGAAAGCTCACATTAAGCTGCAGAAATTAACCTTGAAGGTGATGCAACAGGAGGAGGGGAAAGCGTGTAGCGTTTGGGCCTGCTTGTGGAGCTCTGGCCCCTCCCCCTCTTGCCCTGGCTCCGCCCCTTTCAGACAGGTGCCACCCTCCCCCACCTCCTAGCAGCTGCCGACGGAAAGGGACCCACCTTTGTTTTTCACACATGCATGGCAGCGAGGGGAGTTTTTAAACAGGGTGCGTGTGTGGCCTCAACACACACAACGCCTGCTCTTCATAGGGGTTTATTCTAAAGAAACTGGGCTTTTATTCCTGGAGAGAAGAGTGGCGATGAAACGGGGGCGGCTGGGCGGGCGGGTGCTTTCTCCTGGCTCTTCCTCCTTGCAGGCGAGCACGTCTTTCCGGGGGGGGGGAAACCCACCCCCAGCAAGGTCGGCCACCGGGAGAAAAGGCAGGAGAGGAAGGGGGCTGGCGATGGGGGAGACAGAGGCAGGAAAGGGACCCTGCCAGCATCTGACCTGAATTTTCCGAAAAGCCTCCTTCCTGATAGGTTGCACCAATTGCATAGGGATGAGCTCTCTTCTTCTTCTCCTCTCTCTCTCTTTTTTTCCTCCTAAGGCGCTGCTCAGCACAGCCGTGACCATATAAGGCAGAGAGAGAGAGAGAGAGAGAGAAGGATCTGTTTGAAGCAGCAGCAGCAGCAGAACCACATCCGAAGGGGGGTGTGGGGTGGGCAGGGAGCGGAGGACAGAAAGGGTCCCCCGTGGGCCGTTTTTCTGTGTCACCGCTCAAGGATGCCGCCTGCTCCATCCAAGCGAAGAAGAGAGGAAGCCTCCTCTTTAGCAGCCCGGCCTCCCTGGGGCCTCGCTGGATCCCCCTCGGGTTGCTTTCATTCATGCCTCCTTTCCTGGGTTCATTCATTCAGGCTGGACGGTCGTGGAAAACAAGGCTGCCTTCCAAAGATGGAGTGGCTGAGAAGCCCCAGGAGGGGGGCTTGGAGGGAGACCCTGGGAGGAGCAAAGAAGGGGACCAGAAAGCAGGGGCAGCCCTTTGGGGAGCCTCCAGCGCAGGGGTTGAGCAAGCCTCACAACAGCCCTGAGAGGTGGACCAAGGGGCTCGGCCACTGCCCAGCCTCCAGGCACTGGGAAATGGCACGGAGCACACGGGGTGGGGGTGGAAGGAAAAAACAGGGGGGCAGGGTGAGACTGAGATGTCGGTGGCCCTGCTTTGCTGCCCAGGGTGGATTCTGCTCCCACATTCACGGGAGTGAACCTCTTCTGTTGTTGTTGTTTAGTTGTTAAGTTGTGTCTGACTCTTTGTGACCCCATGGACCAGAGCACGCCAGGCCCTCCTGTCTTCCACTGCCTCTCGGACGTTGGTCAAATTCATGTTGGTAGCTTCAATGATGCTCTCCATCCATCCCGTCTTCCGTCGTCCCCTTCTCCTCTTGCCCTCACACTTACCCAACATCAGGGTCTTTTCCAGGGAGTCTTTTCTTCTCATTAGATGGCCAAAGGATTGGAGCCTCAGCTTCAGGATCTGTCCTTCCAGGGAGCACTCAGGGTTGATTTCCTTTAGAACTGATAGGTTTGATCTCCTTGCAATCCAGGGGACTCTCAAGAGCCTCCTCCAGCCCCACAATTCAAAGGCATCCATTCTTTGGCAGTTTTGTACCGTTGGCCTTTTCTCCTCCCTACAGATGTTGCCCTGTGCAGCCTTGGGGGGGAAGCGGCTCAGGCCCACAGAACAGAGGTGAGCCTCCCAGAAATAATTCACCTTTCCCCACAATCCTGCGCCTCAGTTGGATCCATGGGTGGAAAATAAGGGGGGCAGGCCCTTCTTATAAGACAGGACAGACCTCCCCTCTCCCCCTGTGGACTCCCAAGTTAAACCCCCCCCCCGTGGACTCCCAAAAATAGGTCAGGCCAGCTGGCAAGGTGAGGGTGAAACCCAGATGCCTCCAGCATGGAAGGGCAGAAAGGATAGGAAGCACCCTTAAATCCTGGACCCTCGGAGGTCTCCTTGGTGCTGAATGTTCCCCCACATGCCGGCCTGTAGCTCCTTCGGGGTTTTCTGCAAGGGACTGCAACCTCTTGGCAAAACAGATGCCCCATTTTATGAGGGCATTGCATTGCCAAGATGGGCATGGAGGTGAACATGACCCCCCGCAAATGCAGCCGCTTCTTTTTTCATGTCCATATTAAATGAAAAGATTGCACAGTCTATAATTTGCATTTTGTTTTTGAATCCTCCATTGAGTCTGAGCAGAGATGAATCGTGGGGTGGGGAGAGGGGGAGAGAGAGAGAGAGAGGAAAGAAGGTCTGTCCACAGTTGGCTGTCTCCATGGAGATCCAGGACCGACTGAACTGCCCGTGTGATGCTGAGCATGGCACAGAGGCCGGCTAGGCACACCCTCTCTGCCTGTGGGCTCACTGGGTACCTTATCAAGGATTTCGTGCTTTGCTTCGGGGGGGGGGGATCAGCCTAATAAAACCATCAGTGCCCCATCCTGAAGTTTGGGTTTGGGGTGTTCCTGATCAGCATGGCTTTCTTGGCGTTCCACTCTTCCCTGAGGTTTGTTTCACAGGTTCCGGGATTCAGTTCTGAGTAAGAGCGAGCCC